GCATAAGGTCATATGAGCGCGCGAGACACATTAAACTTTTTCAGCTTGTAGGAAATTTTGAATTTTGCCTGGGTGGCGGCCAAGGCCTATTCTAATCGATTTTAGACTACCAAGGGATCTTTAACGTGCGCAACTTGCACACGGGCCCTCCGAGATTTTTCGCTCTTGTCCGAGAAGGCTAGGTGTAGATCTTTCCCCAGAAGATCAGGGGTGTGGCTGAAAGATAGCAGTAAGGAGGAGCCAGTGAGTAGCAGTAGAAAGGTTGCAGAAAGAGTCAGGACCCCAGAGGAGGAGGCAAAAGGAGATGAGGGGGTGGGGGCATAAAGTGGTGACGAAAGCTTGACCTTGACCATCAATTTAATAAGGTGACGAAAGCAGACGACAGAACACTGCCTGAGAGCATGAAAGGACGTCAAAGGAGACAATTTTAGAAAGAAACTTTTTTCGGTAGCTACTCAGACTCGAACCCGGGACCTTTGAAAGAGAGGTGAACACCGTATATATATATACATGTTTCTCTAGGCCACGAGAGCCCCTTCGAGATCTTTGAAAGCTGTTGTATTCGTTGGATGTGTAACAATATACATGTAGATGTAGACTTCTATAGGCTAAACAATTTATACAATTCTGGGCCTATATATTTGTCGCACTGATGGCTGTTTTTTTTTTAAACAATTTTTTAATGTTATTATTTTTTAAAAATCGGATTGATATTTCATTTTTAAATTGTTATACTTTGGTTTGTTTTGTGTAAAATGTAGATCTACTTAGTTTTTAAAGTTGAAAAACCCAATCTCGTGGGAAAAAAGGTAAGCTTCTGGCTTAGATTCTAAAATCGAAAAGAAAACCCGGAAACTCAAAAAGCGAAACCCGAAACAAGCTTTCACGGCTTGTTGTAATCTCGTTTAGCCTTTTACTGTGATGGCTTTTTATTCCCGGTGTTGACCACTGACACTGTGTTTTCATTAACAAATATATTGCCAAGCTTGACGATTCTAGATCTAGGGCCTAGTCCTCACGGTTTCATCATGTTGATCCACTTTCCAAACGCGTTAACAGAAGAGGAAGAAACTCTGAAACAAGCCTTTGCGAAACTGAAGAAAAAGGTTGGTCGATTGACTACGAAATTTGAAATTACACGCATACTATTCAACAAATTTTTTTTTAAACTAACAATTTTACTAGATCTAGTGGCATTGAGTTTAAGACTTGATTTATAGATCTAATCTAGATCTAGATGTAGATTCTAGCGGATCCCAATGGCTGCTGCATGTCTGATAGTGATAGGGACCTGCCTGTGGGCAGTGCTACAGACAGAGTGCGGAGGGTGGCCTAGGCCTAAGCTTACTGACTGATAACGGACCGGGTTAACGGTGTGACTAGTGACTATTTGGACACAGACACAATCCTTTGGAGCCTCAGCCCTAGCCTCCCAAGGGTCGTTTTTGGTAGAGATTGGTTTTCATCACCCTCCAACACCGATCGCGCATTTCCCTGTCACAGCAATTTATGCAAGCTGCGAAGATGCACTGGTTCAAACAGAAAGAGAAAAATGTCATTCTCAATTAAAGAAAAAAGACTCACAATGTATAAGGACACACATGTCTGAATATACACGAAGTGGCAGTCGCTTGTTCTAAATGTGGGTGGGGCTGAGAAATCAGGGTATGTAGAGTTGAAAAGGTAAGATTTCCTTAGTTCAGAGGACATTCGAGATATGCGGGACTTTGTTTCATTCACACACTTACTCACAGACATGCCCATATACTGTTGCAAGCGCCGTAAAACACTTACCAAAAAAAATTAATTAATTAATTAAACACACAAATGCACACATTCAACAGTAACTGGATTAGGCCGTGGGGTTGCAGAAAGCAAGGCATTCCTAAAACGTGGGCCCATGAGTGTGTTTTTGTTACTGGGTCTCCGGGGAAAGTGTGTCATGAACTTTCCCCCCATTGTCTGGGCTGGCAGAGAAGGGGCCCTCTCTAACAACAATTTTCGCGGGCTCTCGTTTATTAGAAGGAACATTCTTTTACGGTGGGAAAGAGTTGGGTGGGGCTCTAGCCCTTTAGCCCTTCACTGTGCCCCGCTACTGTACTGTATACACGGGAGCTTAAACGACACGAACATGTGTCCCAATAGACGCAGCCGACCGATAAATGATAATAATAATATTCATGATAAGGGGAACTCTACTTTACTGTGACCCTCTCAGCTCTGGCCTCTGGTCTCTTTAAACTTCAGTTTGAAAGAAATAGGTCTCTATGCTAGTCTTGAAACTTGTCAAGCAATCGAAGACTTTGTCAAACTAAACAAAACAAATTGTTTCGTTTAACTCCGTCATTAACCTCAAACCCTAGTGATACTACAAGAGCTTTTATTAAATTTGAGAAGGTTATTTTCAAGCTCAGAGTCAGGCAGCGGCTTTGAAACCATCTTCGACATATAACATTTATAGCATAACAGTAAACTTTTCTTTTCTTGTATAATAATGTGTTTAACTTGATTCAAATTAAACTTTTGCTATTCTTTCAAGGCCATAGGATAGGGGCCAATGCATAGCTCCCTTCATCAGCTCTTCTTTATTGATCAACGGCTGAACTGCTACTTCCCATCGAAATTCTGTTATCATGATCATGTGTTCTCTCAGTCATAACAAGACTGACCACTGGAGATTTCACTGATAAATCTTATCACCACTGAATAACATAACACGTTTGTTTCGTTACATTCCCTCTCATCTCATATTTGCTTGAAAATGAAAGCTGTAGAATAAAATGCTTATTAAGCTGTCTCAACTACTACGAATACCATGTTTTGTAAATTATATAGAGAAGGTGGCATTATATCATCTTTGAAGTTCAGATGAATTAGGCTAAAAGCTGAACCATATTGTCAGCTGTGTTTTTTAACTATGGTCACTTTGGAAAATGACATTATAACAAAACTACATCCTTTATCGTGTTGTTGCAACAGTTGCTCTCTTTCAGATTCAAATGTCACTTGATCTGGAACCTAGGATAAAAACAGAATGTTTTTCCACTTACAAATTTAAATTGTGACAAAAGTACTAGATTTGACATTTCTTGTACATTATTTTAAAGTTTTCTCATTTCACCTTCTTTACTGTTCTCTAGTCCTGTTCTGTCATCTGCTTTCTTCTCCATCCCCCCTGCCCCTACTTTTATGCCCCTACTTTTACCCCCACCCCCGACCTTCTCTGAGCTCCTCTCTCTTTTACTTTTGACTCTTTCAAGTCTTTCTTCTGCTTCTCCTGGCTCCTTTATACTGCTATCTTTCCACCAACTACATCCCTGATCTTAGGGTAGGTAAGATCAAGCACCTTGCTTTCCTGAATAAAGACGAAAAATTTTGGAGGTCCTGTGTGCAACTTGTGCAGGTGAAAGGTCCTATTTGGGGCAGTAAAATTGTTAAGAGTAGGCTTCAGCTGCCAGCTGGGCAAAATTCAAAATGAATTCCTACCTAAGCTGAAAACACTCTAGTTAGTTTAAAAAGATGAAGCGTGCCTTAGAAATTGGAATGTGGCTGCTTGAAGGAAAGGGGCCCTACGAAGTAGGAAAATGGTCACTTATACGCGGTATAAAAATCAATTGCACCGCAGATTGCCGAACCAGCGGTTGACTACCTCTGAGGTCTAGCAGGGGAATGCATAGAAGAAGAGGAGAAGTTAGTATTTTGTCCTAAGTTGGTGGATAATGAAGTGAGGGTTACTGGTAGACTTTACTAAACTGACTGCTTATGCTGTCATAAGTCGTCTTTTTTTTCTCTTTACTCAATTGTTCGTTTCTCTGGTCTTCTCAAGCTCAATGATCATTAATTATTGTTTCTGTGTTTCCCTCTATACTTAATGACTTCCTTTAACATATGAATTATATATCTCTTCAGAAAAAGATGGTTCAAGCAATGAAAGCTGCTGCCCATAATCAAGAAAAAGAAGCTGTTCACAATAAATCAGCTAGTAAACCAGGTATGGCATGTAATAACCAAACATCTATAGAAATTTTGATTTTACAATGTGGTGCTTTACTTTCTAATGCACTAAACTTTCAATGTCTTAGAACGTTTCAAAATGAGACTTGAGTTCAGACTCATAAAAAAGTTGTGGTTTTGTTATCTGGGAAAAGCTTTTTCAGTAAGCTTTTAAAAAGATTGTGAAGCATCCATAGTTTACTAACTACTGTAACAGGATTACAAATTTTTGAAGATTTTTTCATTATGGACTCCTCAGTATTTTTTCCTCTTTGTTTTATCTGTGATAGCGGCCAGTTCGTCCATTGATTCGGCTGACAAAGCGACAGAGCAGGCAAAAAAACTGGTGCAGTCTGGGGTGAGTGACCCTTGTGATATCTTCCTACTCTTACTTACTTTATGTTTATGCTCTGTTCTAATGTCAACGTATGGCAATGCCATTATATCGAGAAAAGTCAACTGAAAACACCAGACATTGTTGATTTTCTGAATGATGCCATTTTTTAGTTTTATGTGGATAACTTAAACTCAAAGTTAAGTGTCAACTGCTTCCTCAAGTTCCATCCCATTTAGTGTATAATGATTTCTGTAGAATAGCCATTATTCCTGACATTTACACTAAATTAGAGTTTATTTCTTCTATGTGTCAAATACAAAATTAACAGAATTAATCTTGTTATTATAATCTGATATGTTTTATTTTGTTCTTAATTTTGTTTTCTTATCAAAAGTGTTTCTTTGTTGTTTTTATGATAGTGAACCTCTCAAACATAAAAGAATGAAAAACAAGTTTATGTCCTTCCTCGCTTCCCACTCTTTTCCTGTGGATTGATTTTGATAATAAACTGACATTACTAAAGGGCTGCCTGCTTCTATTCAAATTATAAAAGAAAGGAAAACTTGTCAGCTTTTCTGAACTGCTGTTCAACAGATTTTGTCCTTACTATACTGATTTTTTTTTTTTCAGAGGATTCACAACTGCATCTAAAGTTAATATGAATAGTTTTTCATCCATCTTACTTCATGTTCTTCTGTGTGTGTTTTTCATGAACAGGCCATTAAGGTTGCAAGCTTGAAGGAAAAATCAGGTTTCAAGCGTTCAAAAACTTTAGAGAGAAAGAAGGTAAGAGAGTGTAAACAATTATTTTTTGAGTTACACTCCATTTTATATATCTGTAAGCGAACTTTATTTTTTTGTCTGTCATGTTAATTCAAGATGTATGCTAGTACTTAAAACACGCTGTATTGTGCTGTACTGATGTCCACCATAGGCCCAGTTTTATTTCTGTAAATTTCAGGTGATGGATAATGAAAGTTTGTTCTATATATGTGTAGGCTATATATTTTATAAGAATGTCATCCCTCGTTAAAGTTACCCTTTGTGTGTTTGTTTCAGTCTAGATTTAGTATTTAATCTTTTCAGGCTTATCAATGTGGACTAGCCAATTTTTAATTATAAGGGAGAGTGCAAGGCTCATAGGAAATATCCCAGCTAGGAAAAGATTAAGCAATTTAGAGATTTAATTTTGGAGCCTATGTACTGTCAAACCTGCCAAGACAGCCACGTGTAAAAGCGCCCCCTTGTGGGTTTTTTTCAGTATAATGACACTGTGTAAAGCGATAACATGCCCAATGCAGCCGCTATATTTTATCAACCAATAGCCCTAAAGACCTGTCTGAGATGGCCATACAAATTTCTCATTGTCTGACACGTTGCCATAGATATATATATATCAGCAATGGACGCTGTGGATAAATAATCATAATCCAATGAATTTTCATTGTTGTTCATCCCTCCAGCCCCTCCAATGAATGAACCAATCATGTTGCATAGGTCCCTCCCACTGTTTACCCAAGTGGACCAGTCGACAACAAATTTTCAGCTGCTGATGAGGGAGGAGTGTGAACCATCATAATCCATTAGCTCTGTCCACAACCCTAACCATATATCTCTATACATATTAATATGTTTGTGAAAGTCCGTCACTTTGGCCGCCTAAAACTTCCAAACCACTTAACTTTCAAATTTGACAAAATTAATGGTGGTTCAGAATCATTTAAAGGGTGCACAGTTTCATTGAGGAGCCTGAAGTCACCGTAGTTTAATTTTCAGTTTTTCATTAGTTTCGTTTAGACCTAATCCAGGGAAAGTCCGTCTTCTATGACGCCTTTGTAAACAAATGAGGTTTCCATTCACCAGCCGTGCCTACTGGTTCCACACCTTTGAAATTCTGGAGTGTACAACCAGGAAAGCGGAATAGAGAATCAATCTATACATCTATTATATATTTGGAAACACATGTGTCACTTTTCTCTCAAGATTTATTGCTCCGTCCCAGTAGACTGTAAATATAGCATTCCAATGACTTTCAGTTGATGTTAATGCACCGATCATTCTTTTCATCGAAAGGGGGCCCAGCTAGTAAAACATAAATGAGATAAACAGTGGCTTTGTTTACCCAGCTGGTAGCAGTGGACATCAGCATGAACTTGTAACTGAAGTGTTGCTGGTTCACCAAGTAGTGGTCATTTATGTTTGTTTCTCATGGCACTCAGTCTTCCTAGTCAAATGCATTTCGTTTTGTGTTACCCTTGCACTGCACACTGTCTTTTTCCTCCGATATACTTTGTAGAATTGAACTCTCACAGCAGCCCCAAGACCACCTTTTCCACCCTTCCTCCAAAGAAAAAAACCCATTTTAATGGGCCTTGTGGCACTTCTAATCCTGGGAGTGCCTGTGGTTGGGACCTCAGAAGGGAATGATTTGTTTTCTTCATTTTGATCTGTCCCAATCCTGCTTTAGATGGCCTCTTGTCTAAGAAGGCCACTTTTCTCCACGACAAAGGTCTCAGAAGAGTTGGACTTTACTTTATATCCAGTGTCATATTTTTTGGGGGGGTGGGTTTCTTTTAATGCAACATGAATATTTGTGCACATATTGTTTTGTATTTTGTTGCAGGACAGTGAAAAGCCAGCTGCAGGCATGGGTTTCCAGCCTTTCATGTCATTCACCGGAGAGGAAGAGGAAGACAAACCACCGGTAAAGGATTCCTTTCTTTCGCAGAGGTTTTTTAAAAAAAATTTGGTGCCTTTTGGAAAAAACAATTTAAAAAAATTTTTTATTTTTTTTAATTTTTTTTTTGGGGGGGGGGGGGGGGGGGGGGGGTCCTTTGGGGATCAGTCCTCAAAAGTTTCGCTTGCTTTTTGTGCCAAATTGTCAGGTTTGATTCCTGATTTGTGCAGGCTGGTTAGGGTAAGTGATGCGTGAGGCTCTCTTCACCCCCTCCCCTCCCCCACCCCAACCCCCTTTCCAGCTTTGGAGCACCTCGGCTCTTTGTGTAAGTAGGACTGGGTACTCAATTTTCTTGGACAAAAAAGTCAGAGGTCCTGTTTTCACATCCTTGCAGGTCAGAAACTCCTTAATAAGTTCTTACCCTGAAAGTGCGCATTCCTGCATTGTTGACATGCTAAGTTGATCCTTACCCAAATACTGAATAAATGCTTTTCAGTGTAGATGATTAAGAGAAAACCTACTTCTGAAATTGCACACTGGAGAGAGAAAGTAGGCGAAATATGAAGAATAAGTTATACAATCAGTCCCAGAGCTTATTGTTGACTTTCTCTGAGATTTAGCACCGAGACAGCAAAAAGGCTTCACTTCATGTTGTAGAAACCCCTTACTCTTCCCTTTTGACTTTTTCACTGGTAGCTTTAGGCATTTATTTACTACTCATTGAACATTCTACCATTTCTGTGATGTAGTTGACTTTGGTACTTCACCTTCACATGCAGAAGACCAAAGTTCGATTTCTGTGTGGGGTGAATTTTTATTGTGTACCCCTGCCTTTCTGCTGACACCTTGTAACTTTTTCAGCCCAAGTTGGCCCTGACAGGCAGGGTCAAAACCTGTCTCCTAAAAGATCTAACTTGTGCTAATGAGGGACTGTAAAATCACATAATTTTTTTCAAAGGTAAAACAGAACATTCGGACTGTCAGTGAAGAAATATAGGACCTTCCGACAAAATGACAATTTTTGAGTTGTGCCGTGAATGAGGAGGCCGCTGAACCTGATCTTAGTCAAACATTTCTTGCTACTGTGGCTCGCTTAGTTACACTGATAAAGCTATCGAAGGTCTTTATTTTGTAATCAATAAAGTGGTATGCAGGGATCATAGTTGAGAATGAGGATCATTCTTTTGTAAATTCAGCTTTGTGGATGTGTGAATCAGCGGAGCTCATTTTATGTCTAGTTAGGCAGAATTCAAACAGAAACAAAACTGTTGACTTTCTGTCTTTGTGTTTTGTTTTCTTTCAGTCTTCCAAGAGGATCAAGGGACTCAATGAGACTTTTGTGTCGGCAGGCTATGGCAATCGTAAGTTGGTGTTTATGACCACCGTGAAATGTTGTATGTGGCAGTCCTCACTTCTTAGATAAATTGCTTGTTCATAACTTTGTCGCTGTTTATTTTTAACCAAGATTGTTAAGTTTCTTTGTAGATGGTTGGCAGGTGCTCTGGTGTGGTTTGCTTCTTCTTTCTTATCAAACATCTGTCATCCTGATCTCTCCTCCTTCTTTTTTGTGTTTGTTACTCTCTTGTAACTCTTCAGCACTTATATGACCTAATTGTGCTGCAAGTGCTGTTAAACATTTAGTAAAACAAGACATAAGCTTCTTTGAAGACAATGCAATGGTTGCAGGGTGATGCAGATTGGAATGTTGTGTAACTTCCCTTTGAAAAGTCTTTGTTGAGTCTGAATTGCTCTGAATTGATTAGGCTCCGTTTGTTGAGTCTGAATATATATATATTGATTAGGCTCCGTTTGTCAACAGTAGATGCAGGTAAACATTGCACTTATTTTACCTTCTGGTTTCCTAAAAAATCTGCACTTAACAATTTTACAGCTACAAGGCTTCTTTACTGTGTTTAGCGGATCAATGGTCTGATGATTTTGGAGTTCTCAGCACACTATTTATGTCAGGTGGTCAGACCGCTTTTCCCGTTTAATTGGACTCTGTATTATTTTCCAATCAATTGATATGTTCCATTTACTCAATTATGTTAATGTAGATATGATGATTTATTTTCCTTTGCAGTGGATAGTATGCTTACAGAGCTTCAAAAATCGTTTTCAAAGTTTTTATCTGGGAAGGATGAATTGTCAGTAAGTAGGTTAAATTTCAGTGGAGTAAATTGCTGTCATGTCTAGCTACAGTATAACTCGGATAGGTCGAACACAGAAGACTCAAAATCACACGTCCATTGAACTGTGCCTGGGGTCCCGTTTTTTGCTTCGTCTTTATCTTTTTAAGATATCCCTCGAACTACTGAGGCTGGTCCCGATGAATTCGAGCTATCCATGTTATACTGTATATTTGTGTTTCATTCAGGCAGTTACGACCGCCCAGAGCGGGAACACCGGGACCCGCCAAAGAAGGGCAACACAATCTATGTTCACGGAGTGGGGATCACGGAGGACATGCTGAAGAAGTCATTTTCAAACTTTGGCAAAATTGTCAACATCTCGATGGAGACGGAGAGAAAGTGAGTGAGCTGAGAGACAAAGTCTTTTGATTTTAATTTTAATTAAGTTATTTGAACTCAGGATTAATGGTGAGGTAACTTGTCATGATGAATTTTTTTAAAAGTTTTATTACATTTGTTTGATCTTTTTTCTTGTTATGCTTTGTAGAAGTCTTGAGGTTAAAGATATGGCTTTACAACTCAACGCTCCGTTATAATAACTTTTCATTTCAGAGACATTACCTTTCCAGTTTATTCTGGGATTTTAGCTTTTGTCTCAAGCAGGGGTTTATATGTTTTTTAATGTCTTTTTAAGAGAATCCAATCTTTAATGCTTGTAGGTTTGAACTACTTTCATAACTGGTTTTATCTCTGTCTCCTCAGTAAAGCCTTTATAACCTTTGAGAAGATGGAGGCAGCCGACCAGGCCATTGCTGAGGTACAAACTTCCCACTTCTCTCCTGTATCTTTTTGCTCTTTTTATTTTGTGGACGAAATAATATGAGCGCCTTGTGTTTACAAATTGTACTTTTGAGGCCGTGTGGAAAGGTCATCATGTTCTGTGAAAAAGAGATTGGGTTCCTTTCAGGGTTGAGGAAGGTACTGGTAAAACTTTTCTTCCTTACCTGAGAAGACTAGGTGCTGGATCATACGTACCCTTGGTTCAGGGGGTGTAGAAGATATGAGAAAAAAATAGTGTCACCGGCAGGGATTGAATTCTGGACCTCCGGGTTGATTGTCGAACACTACCCGGTATACCTATTGAGCTACTGAGCCCCCAGTCGACTTTATGACTTTTAAGCTATTGTGAAAATGTCTCAAAAATTAGATTTGAGTTGTATGAAACAAAACCTAGCTCTTGTGAAATTACAAATCAAGTAACATGTATTTTTACCAAACCAAAAACTAGAACCTAAAAAAAAAAGGACCTTCTTTTATAATCATCATCGTCATTGCCTTTCACTTTCTCACCCTGGGTCAAGGTACAGGCCACGAACAAACACTTTCCACTTTTCCCTATCCTGGGCAAGCCTCTTGATGATGTTCCATGTCTTCCCTCTTTCCTGTACATAGATTTCCTTGACTCTTCTCCAACAATTAAAGTGATGTGACTGTTATGTAATGTGTGTGTCCTACCCCTCAGGAAGGTGCTACTGACTGATGTGTCTTTAGGCCATTCCCAATCGGGGGTGGGGGAGGGGGGGGACATTAACATCTCGAGTTCTTATGCACAGTAGAATTGTAATTGTAAATGGGCTGATTCATCAATGTCATGCTCATATCTGTGCCTGAATTGCAACAGGGAACTGCTGCTTTTTCTTTCCTAATCCTTACTATAGTAATTTTTCCTCTTCTTCTTTTGTATGTTTGTCATACTTTTGTGACCCTTTATTACCGGGGTGCCTTGATAGTGGAAGCAGACTTTGTGCTGTTGAAGCTAGAGAGCTGAGCTGAGTAAGTCTGATTCCCTGTAAGGACTTCTCTGTTGATATCCACCCCTTGGCGCCCATATAATCTTATGCAGCTACGAGCACCGTAAAAACCTCTATTAAAATGACTAATGTATGTGTCCCCCTCAGGTCAACGGTAGTATGGTGAACAACACCCAGCTGCGAGTGCAGATGGCCCGCCATCAACCCTCGTTTGACTCACTGGGAGACGCATCCTCCACGGCCTCCTGGGCCAGCATAGGTCAGGACTTGTGTGTGCTGTTGTCTGTCTGTGCCACCACTTCTCATGTGTATGGAACAACGGACTGTGTCCGATTTCGTCTGTGTTTTTGGTGTCGTTTCGTAATGAGACTGAAAAATGAAAAAGATAATTCTTCAGGAGGCAGAAAAAAATGGGGGGGGGGGGTTATTTCAAACTTTTTTTTGTAACTCTTAATTTCATTCTCGTTTGTATCTGGTTTAGATCATTTAGAAGGTAGGCTACTTCGTACAGGTGCACCTGGTCATCTAGTCTGTATGTTAATTTTTGAGCGCCTGCAAAATGGCAGCTTGCATTTTATGCTCCCCGGAAAGTTAAGATTGTTTCAGAATACTATCGGGTCTGCTGGGGTATATATATTGTAAAGCAACGGAGCTTGCTGTTGTTGAGAAAGAATTTGCACTGCACAGATGCTATGTATGATATTTCTATATTACAGAACGACTCATGAGTTGGTTTCATTTTGACTGGTTTCCCCCCTTACTCTCCCCACAGCTGCCAGCAACTCCCAGAAAGGAACGACACATAAGGACAAGCGAGGCATGGTGCAGTACGACCATGATGATATGTTTTGAGAATTTTTTATCGTCTCACTTCAGCTTATTTACTTATACACAGATAGTCAAATACACGTGCACATTGACAAACACATCCTTACATAGGGACACCCTCATGTACGGTAGGCCATATTCGTAAACTCAAAAAAGACAAATGGGGCATTGTTCAGTCAGGTCATGGGCATTAGTCCCAAGTCTTTTGAAGATCTCAAACTCTCATACACTGGCTCATTTACTCACGTACAACATACTATCACACGAGCATCTACACAAGGGCAACACAGCTCCATGTGTTACAGCCAGGATGGCCTGTTTGCCGTGTCTTGAGGTGATCACGCGCACTGCCCTGCACGTAGTTGTGTATATGGAGGAGGTACGTTTCTGTCATATGAGATCAAAGTGTTTGTTCTGTATGAGTCTGTATTTTATTACTTGTTATGATGGCATGTTTGGTTGATCAAGTAAAAGCATGGTACAAAATCCAGGTTGTAGAGTGTGTGAAGAAATGATTGTTCTTTACTTACCTTACCTTTCTGGTGTCTTTTCAAGCGATGTTCATAATGTAGTTGAACCTAAAGACAACGACCCATTGTCGAGACCCCCCCCCCCCACCACCAGGCAGTGCTACTGACTGATGTTGTGAAGTTGTCTTTAGGCCAAGGCCATTACCGGGGGGGGGGGGGGGGGGGGGGGGGGGTTATTAGCATGTTCTTATGCACAGTAGAATTGTAAATGGGCTGATTTATCAATGTCATGCTTATACTGTGCCGGAACAACTTGGGGGGAACTGCTGCTTTTTCTTTCCTCATCCTTACTATCGCCATTTTCCTCTACTACTTCTTTTGTCAGGTTGGTCACTCTCTTGTGAACTGCCATTTCCGGGGTGCCTTAATAAAAGTCGAAGCAGACTTTGTGCTGTTGAGGCTAGAGAGGTGAGCAGAGTAAGTCTGATTCGTCGCTTGGACTTCTCTGTTGTCATCCACCCCTTGGCGCTCATATGACCTTATGGAGTTGCGGGCGCCGTAAAACTTTACTAAAACTAAAAACCATTGTCGAGGAGAGAAATGGTCATCTTGGCCAGTGTCATTAGAATAAATAGAAAAAATCAATGGGTTAAGTGGTCATTTATACAGGTGGTGGTAAAAGCAGGTTTGACCGATATATAACTTATATTATCATATAAATGGTAATACTAAACCCTGAGAAAACTTATTCTTCAAGAGATAAAAGAAAACTTTACAGTTCTGGTTACATAAATGATAGATCTATGTCCTTTTTTTTTTTTTAGACCATTCACGACACAAACATCGCCTGTGGGGGTGAAGTAGAGATCACTACTGCTGCTGTTACTACTTACTGAACTTACTTTAGCCTGGGAAGTTCTGGCGCATCAGTGGTATATATTTATGTTGGTGAAAAATGTACCCAGCTTTTTGTTACAGTTTGTTATAGAACTATGTTATGAGGTACAGAAAGCACATAGAGCGTGCTGTAGAGCATGGATATGTGTTTTTCAATTATTATTGTATTATTATTCTCAAAGTTTGATGCCATAGACCAGAATTTGTGCATACAGATGGTTTGTGTGGGTTCATTGTTAAAAAAACATGTTCATTCATTATTTGATATGTATTTTCATTTATGGTGTGCCTGTTAATGTATGTGCATTTCCCGTGTAGATGAAAGCTTGTGCGAGTGTGTGGGTCGGAGAACATGCGTAAATGAATGTGAGTGAGTCTGTATGTTTATTTGTATGGGCGCATGCAGGAGTTTGTGTGAGTTGTAAGTGTGTGGATGAAAAAGTGAGAGCGCACATGTACATCAGTGAAAGTTTGTTCCGTAAGAATGAGTACATGTACGTGCATGGATGCATAATGTGTTTGTTACACAACATGTATTTTTCTAAGCCCCTCTATGGTGTTTGCTAGGAGGAAAATGGAAAATAAAAATGTTCTCATTCATTTCCAAGATGACATTATCGAAATGATATATAAGGTGTTTCAACAGAGTTCTGATTTCCTCAATGCTGTTTTTTTTTTAATTATGAAAATTTTCCTTCTTAGCATCGATGAATGGAGCCATTGAAAGTTGGAACTCACATAAAAGTGTTCAGTGGGGAATATGTTAGACAGATTTTGTTTTCCTGTTCTAAGTTCTTCTTTTTCTTCCCCCACCTCCCTCGGTCGTCCATCGATATCTATGATGCTAAGGCAGTATGCATGATTCAGCTTTGCCTGAGCGGTAGGTATGGTATAGATGAAGTAAATTGCCCAAGTACTACTTCCCTCCCTTCAGATCTTGACATCCTTGTAATAAACTCCATAGGAGAGACATAATTTAGAAGATACATCACAGCTGTTCTAAGTTGTACAAGGGGGGCTCTCATGGTCTAGAGTGTTTGCCTCTTATTCAAAAGGTCCCGTGTTCAAAACCTCTAAAATGTTCTCCTTTCACCTCCTTTCTTGCTCTCTTTGTCTTCTGCCTTCATGATCATCTCCATTTTTTTCTGTCCTCCCCCCACCCCTCTGGGCTCCTGATTCTGTCTACTGCTACTCCTGGCTCCTACTTACTGCTGTCTTTTAGCCTTACCCCTGATCTTAAGGTAGGAAGGATCTAACACCTCGCCTTCTCGGATAAGGGCAACAAAGTCTCTGAGTCTGAGGTCCTGTGTGCAAGTTAAAACACACAACAACAAAAATTACTAGAATATTATGTAAATAAGTTACTGAAGCTGACTTTTTAAAAAAAACTAAAATATTATGTAAATAAGTTACTGAAGCTGACTTTAAAAAAACAACTAAAATATTATGTAAATAAGTTACTGAAGCTGCTGTATTAGTCGATGACGTGCGGCTATTAGTAGACCTAGTTGTTTTTGTGATGTTTGGCTCTTTGTTGAGCTGGGTTAGTCTGCAGTCAGCTCTGTTGATTAACACTTACAGTAAGTTACGGTATCGTCGCGTCGGCGACTTTAGGCGCCAGGCCGTAGTACATGCTCATTACTGCTGGTGACTTTAGTCGCCGACTCGACCAGGCACACTAAATAAACTTACTTACTTGGTTGGAGAATAGGCATCATTGCAGCAGCACAATGCCATAGCTGCTCCTCCCTCCTCTCCAGGATCCATAAAAGGGTCTGCCTGCTGATCGTGCCGGCAATAAATATTTGAATAACAGACGCACTGCAGTGAAGTAAATACCAAATGAACCCACTCTATATAATAACTGAATGGTTGATGAACCTCTGTGAATTTTTTAAGGGTTTTTCTTGGGCTGTGAAGGTAATTTTTAATTGTTTTTTCTTAAATTTTGCCATGGTTTCAGCATTTTTTAAAACTGGTGTGGTAGCCTACTTGAGGGTTTTTCACTATTTGAGCCATTAAGTGTTAATTTTGAGTTACACAGGAGTTAATTAGAAAAGACACTGATCTGGAGGAAGGTAAAATTTTAATGATGTTGGTTTAGTTAACAAAATTCTTGAAATTAATGAATAAAATCATTTAACGTAACTTAAAGGGGTTGTGGTTGGGAATCCGAAGACAGTTGCTTCCCCTGGTGACTCGTTTCAAACAAGGGAAACTACTCATTTTGGTGTATTATCTATGTTAATGCACGGTTATTTCCCCTGACACCTGGATCGCTGGAATGATTCTTCTTACAAAGTTACAGTTCTTGGTAATCTTCCACAAAAGCTTTTGGTGGTCATCACCCGAGTCTAGATTGAAACAGAAACAAAAACATCACATCAACAGGGCAGGCAGGCAGGCAGACGCTGAGAACTGCAACGAGCAGGAAAACTGAGCAATCGTCCGTAGTTGTAGGGCTACTAAATTCTAGTGTGATATTGATCTGACGTTGTTAGTTACGGGAGTGGCCAGAGTTGTAAGTCCCCTCCGAAGAAACCTCCCTCCCACAAGTTCGTAGGTTTCCCAATCCCCCCCAATGTCTCCTGGGAATGTACAATGTTGCAATAGTAGGTGGTTGGTGAGTGCTCTGGTGTGGTTTACTTCTTCTTTCCTATCAAACATCTATATCGTCCTGGATTTCTCCTCCTTTTTCGTGTTTGTTACTCTCTAGTAACACCTCTAATCTTCGGCACTTACATGACCTTATTGCGTTGCAAGTGCCGTAAAACTCTTACTAGAACTAAGGCTGCAGTCAACAAGGCGCACTCCGTTGCATTGTTATCCTGTAAACACATTCCGTTTCTACTGAATGGCATGTTCAAGAACTCTTTTGCGAGCGATTTTCAAGTGAAGAGAAATCGGGCAATGTCGGAATACAAATCGTCGCCGTCAGTCAGCCTTGTAGTACCCGGTACCGGTAGATCTATGTCAAAATTCCTATTTGAAAAAAAAACAAAAAAAACATAATTTTTTATTATTTTTGGGTAGAGTTTGATGAGTCATATCGTTTGGTCGTATAGTCTCATTTCTGATTTCTCTTCTTAAAGTAGTCATGGATCATTTAAACTATATAAACATTTTTTGTATGAAGAAAGTATCCTTGGCGAAATAAAAGTTTTCTTCCTCCTGAAAAACTTAGTAGGCCTATCTTGACATACGACAATGGTGAATTACGGCAATTTACAGCGACCAAAATATCCAAATTATTAGCCACACTTATTCGAATCAAACCCACAACTTTTCGGTAGTGCGTAAGAATCAGCATGTAGGAAAAGACACCACCTCACCCACCCAAGAGTTTTATTATAATCATAATCATAATGTAATGGTGGATATAAGGAAAATCACGATTTGGGGGGAGGGGGAGGTAATAAGGAAAAATCGAGATTTTGAGC